GGGGGGGGATTGGTCACAATGGCCAGTCAACTGACTCCCTATTTATTCACTGTGCCCTCCTTGCCCAGGGGCGTGGGCTGCATTTTCTACGAGATGGCCACAGGCCGGCCCCTCTTCCCAGGCTCCACGGTGGAGGAGCAGCTGCACTTCATCTTCCGCATCTTGGGTGAGGAGGCATGAGCCCCAGGAGCTTTGGGGACATGCAGGGAGGCCCCCTGAAATGCTTAGGGTAATGCCTCTTCCTGCCAGGAACCCCAACCGAGGAGACATGGCCAGGCATCCTGTCCAATGAAGAGTTCAAGACACACAACTACCCTAAGTACCGTGCCGAGGCCCTTTTGAGCCATGCACCCCGGTGAGGCTGGTGGGTGGGTGGGTAGGTGTTAGGGGCCAGAGTGCCCAAACTCAATTTAAAGCAGGTCCCCTTGTCCTTGTGGTAGACTTGATAGCGATGGGGCTGATCTTCTCACCAAGCTGCTGCAGGTGAGACCACCTTCCTGAGTCAGCCTTGGGGCCTGGGGGTGTGGGGAAACGGAGCTCTGGGGTGGGAAGGGAGAGAAGCCTACTCTGTGAAAGTGTCAGCCCTCCTCCTCCTCCTCTCCTCCCCACCTGCCTCAGTTTGAAGGTCGAAATCGGATCTCTGCAGAGGATGCCATGAAACACCCATTCTTCCTCAGTCTGGGGGAGCGGATCCACAAACTTCCTGACAGTGAGTGGAGCTGGGGAATGGAGTGGCTGGTGGTGGGCTGTGGGGAACAGGACTGCTATAGACAGTTGAGCAGGTTTTGTAGGGCTCTGCTACATCACCTCTAAGGGGGTACACATTTGTTCACATGTGTGACGTGTTTATTACAAGCAAGTTGCTTAGTTTTCAGTTCTTTTCTCCTTTCATGGAAATTTTCAAATATACATAATAATAGATACAATATCAATTTACCTTTTTAAAGTAAACATTTCCTTGTAAAGTATATACTGAGAAATGTACAGATCATAAGTATACAGCACAATGAATTTTCACAAACACCACACATGTGAAACCAGCGTACAGGTCAGGAAACAGGATGTGAGAAGCTCCCCCAAAGTGGCCTCTTGGTTCCTTCAGATATTCCCAGCCCCTCCCCAAGTTACCACTAGATGGACTTCTAACAGCTTAAATTTTTCCTGTCCTTGTACTTTGCAGAAATGGAATCATACAGGGTGTTCTCTTTTTACATCTGACTTTTAAAAACTTTTTAATATGGATATTTTTAATTAGATATGTTTATGTATTAGACCAAATAATATGAGTCCCCAAGTACTCTGTCAGGTCATTAACTCATGGTCAATCTGGTCTTATCTGTATTGCCTCTGATTATTTTGAATCAAATCCCAGACATATTATTAATCTATAATTTCAGCATGTATCTATAAAATATTTTAAAAACAATAACAATATCATCATCACACCTAAAAAAAAAATTGGCCCACTTTGCATATCTCCCCACTGGACTAATCTAAATCAAATCCCTAACACTATCCATCACCCAGAGTTAACAGGTGATAATTGTAATACCATTATCACACTTGACAAAATAATGATTTCTTGGGGGCATATAATAGTCCATATTCCAGTTTTCCTAGTTGTAGCTGGTTTGTATGTGGGATTTTTTGACAGATGAAAGTCAAGCCTCAAAGAAAAGGCAACTTTTTCTAATTCTCCCAGTGGGGCCATATGGGAGGTGGTTCTGAATTGCCCCATGGGTCATTTCTTTCCTCTCTCTCCCCTCCACCCACAGCTACTTCCATATTTGCACTAAAGGAGATCCAGCTACAAAAGGAGGCCAACCTTCGCTCTTCGTTGATGCCTGACTCAGGTAGATGTGGCCCTCTCCCTCTTCCCTGTCCCATCCACCTACCTGCTTGTTCACCAAGAGCCATCCGCTCTGCTTTTGCCCGCAGGCAGGCCAGCTTTCCGTGTGGTGGACACCGAGTTCTAAGTCACAGACCCAGGCCCCAGAAGGCAGCAGCTGGAGGGATGCCACACCCCTCACAGGGCAGCCCCCACCTGCATCCTCCTTGCTTGCTGCCTGCCTACCTGCCTGATTCATGCTCGCCTGCCCACATGTTCCCTGCTGCCTGTCCAAACATTCATTGGCCTGTCTGCTGGGTGCTAACAAAGCTCTCATCACTCCTTCACCTGGTCTGTCTGTCTCTTTCTCTGTGTCTTAGTAGTAGCCGGCGGACAGCATGGCCGTGCCAGCCTCCCACACTGAGGCCAGGCCTATACCCCTCCCCATCATGCCCTTTCCCAGGACCACTACCCCATGGCCAGCCAGGGGTCTGGCTAGCCCAGGCTGGGGATCTCAGACAAGATGTGGCGATGCCTTGGGTCTGAGGTTTCCTCTGCCTGTTTTCCTGCCTGCCCCACCTGCCTCATGTCGTGTGGGCCTTTTTTTTTTGTTTCATTCATTGTTGTTTTTTAATTATTTTAAATGAGATTTTCATTTTTTAAATGCAATATCTCTGTATACAGACTGGCTGGGCCCCACCCCCTGTGTGTGGCCCTCCCACAGTATTTTGTGCAATGAAGCCCTGCTCCCAGCCTTTCCAAGGCAGGGACACAGCCCCTATTCAGAACCCTGACCATTACCAGATCCTGGGGTTGGCTAAGAGAAAGCATGCCTCAACCACTCGCCTTCCTACCCCCAACCCCCCTGCCTGCCATTCCCAGCCACAGGGGTACCTGAGGACAACCGGAGATTCTCTGGGAGATGGACAAGGTGGGGGCCCCCCACTCTCCCTCCTGCAGTTCCATAGCTGGGACCTCCTTCCGTCTCAGGGTCTCCCTAGGCTAGCCCTCTTGCCCCCATCCCACTTGGTGCTGTTCAGTAGGGGCCCTGCCAGGAACTGACCAATTCAGCAAGGAGCCATAGTGTGTATATGTGCACAGGCAGGGACAGGTGCATAGGGGGTTGTGCCCAGGTGTTAACCTCTAACCCCTGGGGAGGGTGAGGCAGGGCAGGGACAGTCTCTGGCATCAGTCCCAGATGGGTGGTTACCTCCCCTTCCTCCACTCTAAACCCTGGGGGCCCTCAAATGGGGTGGGAGGGCATGGGTGGGGGCCCTCCTAGTGGGATTTGGGA